CTCCGAAACACGGTGGCAAGAAACAACAACACGGAGGAGGAGGAGGAGGAGGACAACAAAAACCTTCCTATGGTTCAGGGTACCAGTCCCACCAGGGTCAACAACAACAATCCTACAACCAAAACCAGTACAGCAACTACGGCCCGCCGCAGGGCAAGCAGAAGGGCTACAACCACGGCCAGGGCAACTACTCCTCCTACTCCAACTCTTACAACTCACCCGGCGGTGGAGGTTCTGATTACAACTACGAGAGCAAATTCAGTGAGTGCTGGCTTCTCTGGGGGGAAAAATGGCAGTTTTAGATCACGTTTGTGTGGTTTTAGGTGGAATTTGGTTGGTTTAGGGGTGGAATTGGTTTGGCTTAGGGGTGGAATTGGTGGGTTTAGGGGGGATTTGGTTGGTTTAGGGGTGGAATTCGTAGGTTAGGTCGGGTTAGGGGTGGAATTTGGTTGGTTTAGGTTGGTTTAGGGGTGGAATTGGTGGGATTTGGTTGGTTTAGGGGTAGGTTTAGGTTGGTTTATGGGTGGAATTTGGTTGGTTTAGGGGTGGAATTGGTGGGTTTAGGTTGGTTTAGGGGTGGAATTTGGTTGGTTTAGGGGTGGAATTGGTTGGTTTAGGGGTGGAATTGGTGGGTTTAGGTTGGTTTAGGGGTGGAATTTGGTTGGTTTAGGGTGGAATTGGTGGGTTTAGGTTGGTTTAGAGGTGGAATTTGGGTGGTTTAGGGGTGGAATGGGTGGAATTTGGTTGGTTTAGGGGTGGAATTTGGTTGGTTTAGGGGTGGAATTTGGTTGGCTTAGGGGTGGAATTGGTGGGTTTAGGGGGGATTTGGTTGGTTTAGGGGTGGAATTCGTAGGTTAGGTCGGTTTAGGGGTGGAATTTGGTTGGTTTAGGTTGGTTTAGGGGTGGAATTGGTGGGTTTAGGTTGGTTTAGGGGTGGAATTTGGTTGGTTTAGGGGTGGATTTGGTTGGTTTAGGGGTGGAATTGGTGGGTTTAGGTTGGTTTAGGGGTGGAATTTGGTTGGTTTAGGGGTGGAATTGGTGGGTTTAGGTTGGTTTAGGGGTGGAGTTGGTGGGTTTAGGTTGGTTTAGGGGTGGAATTTGGTTGGTTTAGATTAATGATGGGACTCAAATCATCTTAAAGGTCTTTTCCAACCCAAATGATTCCAAGATATCCCTGCTCATGGCCAGGGGGTTGGACCGGATGAACTTGAAGGTCCCTCCAACCCAAACCATCCTGTGATTCCATGAACCTGGAGAACAAAAAGCTCCCTGATTTAATTGATTTAATTACATGAGCTCAACAACTAGCCAGGAAACCAACTGGGTTCTGGTTTCCTACACCTTGAGGAGCTCCTCCTGTGGTTTGGAGGATGAGGGTGGAATTACCTGCTCTGCTCCCAGTGATTCTATCCCGATCCAAGTCTTTGCGTTGTCAGAGCATCCACGTGCTTTTCTCTTTTGTCACCTCAATTGTCCCTTTGACTGCTGATGGCAGATGAAACCCCTTGCCCAGACCCAGCGACGGCGCCGCCGCGGCGACCCACCATCCTCACCACATTTTCCCTTTCCAGGTTACGGTGGCAACAGCGGCCGCGGAGGAAATAACTACTCGGGTGGTGCCTCCTACAACACCGGCTCGCACGGTGGCTACGGGGGAGGATCTGGGGGAGGAGGGTCCTCGTACCAAGGTAAGCAAGGTCAGTATACACCTCCCAACATCTTCTTCCACGTGTCTTTACGTCTGTGTGTGTTTGTGCCCAGTAGCACCTCCCAAATTGGAGTAAAAACTCTTGATTTTGCCTTAAAACACCTTTATTTTTTCACACCACCGTGGTAATCGAGCTCTTTCTCTCTCTCTCTCTCACAGGTGGATATTCCTCTCAATCCAACTACAACTCACCTGGTTCAGGCCAAAATTACAGCGGCCCCCCAAGTTCTTACCAAACCTCTCAAGGTGGTTACGGCAGAAACGACCACAGCATGAATTACCAGTACAGATAAAGCCCCCAC